CTCTGGGGTCTCAGGTTCAGTTCCTGGACTCATATGTAATTACCATGTCAAATGCCTGGAATTTTCAGAGTCAGTCAAACTCCACTCTATGATATGTACAGTACCTTGTTTTGAATTACTGGAAGGTGCTTTTCTTTTCTTCCCTGGAGACATCTTGTTTGGAGAAGATTTCTTCCTCTTTGCTTTAGCTTCCTTAACAGCAGCCAGCTTTTTTGCTTTCTGTTGTACAGTGTCTGGTTGATTTTCGTTGTCTGTTATAGAAAAAAAATGAGCCTGAAAGCTTTAGATAAGAAGCATAGAGCGCTTGTACTGACTTTCATTATTAGTGTATAGTTGCAGGAATGTTGCAAACCCTTTGTGATGCTCCTGTATATGGTACATTTAAAACAATGAAACATTTTGTTTATTCATACCATTAAGACACTGATGTTTGCATTATTTATTTCAAACTAGTCTAGACTTACTTACCAGACTCGCTATCTATGTCTAGGTCAGACAAGATGTTCTTGGCCTCTTCTGATAATACTCTGCTTTCCTTGACATCATCTAGCTTGGTGTCATCATCATCATCATCATCATCATGATTCAAATCAAGAGTGTGCTGAGACAACTCATCAACTGTGTGCAAGATTTGAATTTAAATGGCTTAGCATTTCCACAATATGATCTGATTATCCCTGCTAAAGGTGTTGGCACATCATATCACAAAAACTGTACCAAAATAAAACTCACCTACCCACCCTATCACAAAACCCACTCTATCACATAACCCACCCTATCACATAACCCACCCATAGAAAAATCAAAAATCCTGATAAAGCCATTGCTATAAAAGTGATTCTAGATATGTGTTTGTGTTGCCAATACCTTCTTTAATATCATCCTCTTCACTATCCCTTTCATCATCTTTCTTTTCAATCCCATTCACTTCCCATTTAATCTCCATATCTTCTACAGGTGTGCTTAGTTTTTTAGTCTTATCCCTTTCTTCTTTTTTCCATTCCAGTTTTTCCATCCTGCTTGAAGTGCTAGTGGTATCCTGACTGGCATTGGACTGTGGTTTGTTTGATGCTGTTGATTTTGGCCTGGTATTTGTTGGTCCCAATACTTTTTTAACAGTCTCTTGTCCAGATCTCCATGATGTTGTGGTGATGGTATTAGTAGGTCTTTTTGGTGCTGTTATTCTCTGGATCTTTACACCACCTAGAAAAACAATTAAAATGGGCTGATCAAAGTCATTGGGACACAACTACCTCACAGATAGAACCCTGAAACAACCTCTGGGCTGATCTAAGTCAGGGCATGRCTAACTCACAGATAGAACCCTGAAACAACCTCTGGGCTGATCTAAGTCACTGGGTCACAGCTACCTCACAGATCGAACCCTGAAACAACCTCTGGGCTAATTAAGCTCAGGGCACGGCTAACTCACAGATTGAATTGAATTTGGCTTGTTAGTTTTTGAGAAGTGAGGAAAACTTGAGAATAACCCTTAAATCAAAGTAGAGAACCAAGGAACTCTGCTCACATTTGATGCTCAGACTAATGACTTCTAAATTTAAAATTGATTTTCAGTGCTTTAACTGTATATACATGTATATTATAATGAAATGTACACTATTACCCATACCTACCTTTGTTGGTTTTGTATCCATTACTAGCGGGTTTCTGTAGTGCAATAGGTCTCTTATTTCCATTCTTTGTATGCTCTTTCCTTTGTCTCTCTACAGATACCTTGTATGGCTCTCCTGGCTCACTGAAACCTTTGTATCTGGACAGAGTAGGTCCAGCAGCTACTTTTCTCTTAGATAAAGGCTTAGTACTGATCCCAGTGTCTTTTTCATAAGGTACATCTTCTTTCGAAGGTTTGATAATTACGTCACCTTAGAAAGTATCAAATTATGAATAATCAATGAGGAAAAACACAACAGAATTCAGTCATTCAGGAGAAGTTCAGAAATCAGACACAGAATCATTGTCATTTCCATTCAACTTTAAAATGGATTCTGTTGGTTAAACTCACTGCAATCTCAAATATCTTATCTCAAAGTAGGACATGAAATTATACTCCTAAACACTTGATATGCAATATACAACATTCACAGCACTTTACTGATGACTTTACTGATACCTGTCTAGTTTTTCAACATTGATAATTCGAAATAATGAGTGAATATTCTAAGTGGAAAAAAAGAAGAGAAATGTCTTTCTTGTGAGTATTTCTACTGCGTGCCACAAAATACAATATCTATGCTGACATCTATACTGATGATTTAATGTTTATGCTCAGCTGATGTTACTGACCATTTTCAAGGTGTGTTGGTCTTGATGAAGTTGATGTTGGCGCCTTTTGCTTCTGCTGCTTGATTCTTTCTTTCAATCTAGCTAATGCCTCTGCAGAAAATACACAATTATAATATAAACACAACTTAATCATCTGGTCTGAATACTATGTACTTATTGACTGAGTGGGAGGGCCGTACGGGAAAATATTTGGCTCGAGGTCATGTCATACGGACCAAGCGCAGCGAGGTCCGTACAAATGACCGAGAGCCAAATATTTTCCCGTACGGCCCGACCTAACTCAGTCAATAAGCATTTTATCATATGACCCTCACGAAAATAAACATAATTAAGAAAAAGAAAGCGCGCAGATTTGAGCATGGCCGGACAGGTTTTTCCGGCCTGCTTACGTCAACCCGTCCGGCCCCTATCACGTGACTTTTTCCAATGGTTTTATTAGAGCGCGCGAGCAGGGACGTACGGGTCATATGATAACTCAGAATATTTGATTGGTTAATAATTATTAATGAGTTGCTCTATAATACTCTATCAGCATCACTTTTATCATCATCTCAGGACTTGAAATAATAAGTTTTAGCTCTGTCATGTGACCAAAATGACCAGCAAGGCAAAGATTTGACTGATAAATTCCAATTCTGGTCAGACATCTGATGCCTGGCCATAATTTTAAGCCCTGAATCTTTTACTTTTTTTGGTTATATATTTCAATGATCTTACCCGAGTTATTAGCAACCACAGGTTTTAGTCCCAATGAAGACAGAGGTCTGACAGCATCTAGTCTCCTTCTATTAAAACTTGACATCTCTAGAGAATCCTCAAAGTTTGAAGTACCCATGTCAGACAACACAGGTCTCTCATGTATTCTACTGCTCTCCCTGCTTTTTGAAAACCTAGGTTGATCTCCTGTAGAGGTATCAAGTACTGCCTCTGTATTATTGATATAGGGAGGAGATTTAGTTTGGAAGTCTCTGGTTGGAGGTGAATGCTGCCGGCCTGAATAATTGCTGCTGTTGCTGTTATTTATTGTTGATATGTGGGAGTTCCGAGATACATCTCTTGAATGATATAACGGGATATCTATAGAGCTATGACTACTTGAAGTGAGAGAGGAATTTTGTTCATCTCTGGAATAATCTCTTTTATTAACTGTTGGCCGTAACTCATATCTTGAGACCCGACCAAGTCGTTGATTTTGAGAAAACACCTCCCTCACGATTGGTTCGTCAAGATTTTCTTGATCTTTAGTACCAGGACCCAGCTCAAATTTGGCTTCTTGAATACGGGCCTCTGCCGCTTGAAGCTAAAATATAAAATGGGCCGTCAAGTGAGAAAAAACATATGTCAACAATAACAATACAAAAACAGTTATCATGACCAAGTAGACATTGGCAGATGTCAATCAGTGTTGGAAACATATTTTTAAATAAACAATATCTTTATGGGCATGTGACTACTATGGAATGGCATAGAAACTCATTAATGACCCTATACTAATACTTGTTTGTCATGACATAAAAATGTACAATTCTATAATTATTGAAAAGGAGAAAACTTTCAATTATCATACATTTAGTATCATACATGTAGTTTTGGTACATATATGGATGTTTTCTGTGTACTTTTTAACCATAAACAAACTCTTATAAAACATTTTAATTTGTATTGAAAACTAAAATATAAGCTGGAAAGTTGAAAAAAAAAAAACATGATATATGCAAGCAAATTCAAATATGACATTACAATTTGTGATAAAATAAAAAGATCAAGGGTTTGTACTTTGAAAAAGAACTTAGAAAGGTTGTAGAGTAAAAAGAAATTCTTTTTTCATGTTTAAGGCTCCAACAATATCAGCTGTCAGATGAAATGTCTGGAATATTACGTCATCGTCTGGACAAACAATAGAAACGAACTTCTTGATCCTCAAAAGTGACAAAAATCAAAACCTCAAAAATAAGAAAATACCCTATAAAATCATTGTAGATTTTGAAGAATTCATAACTAATGACTACAAAGTCGAAATAAATCCAACCTGAAAGTACTTCACATCAGTAAAGATTATTGAATAGAAAGTAAATATTTGATATGCATTACCGACACAATGATAATATTACGCTATTTCCTGGTATTTTCCATTCAAATAATTTCTAAGTATTTGCTTTTTTTAAATTTCACCTCTCTTTAAAATCAACCCCCTTAACGAAACTTTCAGTTTTAACACTAAAATATTCAGTTTTACTTTCATTTTGTGAAGGTTTTTCTTTCTTTGTCAGTTAATTTTTGATCGACCTTTGAAAGTGATATCAGTGTTATTATGATATTGAGTTACGCATTTCGAAAATGAAGCAGTTTTCAAATACTTACTGCTGTTCTGACTTCATCTACGTTATCCCAGGCAGCAGCGAGATCTAGAAGATAATAAAAACGACTAGTCTTAACTACCAAAGTACAAACAAATATACTTTATGGATGAGTAATCGCCACGTGCTGGTTCTTGTAAAATAATAAACTGTCGTAAAAAGATAACGCAACATCAACATCGACTACGCATTTGCTAATTCAACTTCATAATAATATTTTAAATTACCGTTTAAGGAAGATCTGCTTCTGGTTTCTCGTGTGAGAGATCCACGTTGAATTGGTACAGGATCGGCCACACGGCGTCCACGGAACAAACCAGTAGAAGTCATGACCTTTCAAGTTCGTCTTCCTCGCGAGAACAACAAACGACTTGCAACGCGTTTTCCATTCAAATAAATCCAAAAATCACTAAGGCACCGTTTTTTTGAATCTCTAACGGCAAATGAACTCGGCAGTTGCCTAGAAGTAATATTCTTTGAAGGTATTYATAAGATAGGTAACGAGGTGAACTCATCGATATTTTGAGTCATGTATTTTAGTGTTGAACCTCCTCCGCACGCCCGCCATTTTTTTGTTTTCACCACAATGCATTCTGGGTATAAAACGCTTGCTTAGCATTCTGGGTAAATATTGCGCTTATGCTGCATTGTGGGACACAGCCATTTTACGCTTTCTTTCTTTCTTTCTCCCTTTTTTTTATGGATTCTTTTGGCTTTTCGTTATTATTTCTTTTTTGAGGGAAGGATGGTACAAACACCCTTTGCAAAAGAATTTGGAAAAGTTATCGACAAATTTAATAGTGGCTCAGTTAGACTGTTAGTTAGACGGTGTATAATTTACCTTTTCATCATTACTGTTTCAGTTAGACTGCGTTTAGTCGGTACCGGACCAATATTTAACCGGTTTGATTTGACCTGTACATACCCGCTATACGCAACCGCTTCTTTATAGCGATTTAAAGTCTATTCTAATTTTGTAGAGAAACTTGAAGCAACTCTGGATTTCTGTTTGATGTATTTGTCTTTCCTCGGCATAGAATAAAAACTACCTCATCGCGGCACACCTATCTCCTTCCTACAAGAACCCCTTGTATTGATATAAAAGACGCGTAAAAGAGCACGCTATCAAACTCAAAATATACTAAATATGCTTTATTTACACTGTCTTGGTTTTACAGAAATTCATTCTACTCAATAACATTGAAAGGAAACGCTTACTCCTCGTTGACACGAGATTTAAAATTTCCGCTAAACTACAGTTAAACTAAGGGGCATCATCTAGGATTTTCCCGCATGACGAGAAGCAACATATCGTCCTTCCGTCATGTCACATGCATGTATGTTACGAATAACCTGCCAGTGATGAGAAAAAACCGAACTTGTATTTCCATAATGTCTACTTTCTCTCTTGTCGCGTACATACTTAGTCGATATATAACCATAAATACATCCACTAAATGGTAAAAAACATATTATCATTATCATTATTTGGTAACATCATAAAATCCTTCGACTTATTTTTTATAGATACCTGCAAGTGATCTGAGCCGATCTAAGTCAGGGCAGGACTAACTCACAGATGGAACCCTGAAACAACCTCTGGGCTGATCTAAGTAAGGGCAAGGTCAACTCATAGATCAAACCCTGAAACAACCTCAGGGCTGATCTAAGTCAGGGCATGGCTAACTCACAGATCGAATTGGACTTAAGCTTGTTAAACTTTGCGGAGGGAGACGGAAAACATGACATTGGCGTAAACCTTTGTCCGTTTCTGCTAAAGTATGGCCGGCATAGGAAGGCCAATCAAGGTGCTTGGTAGAAATCACCAGGTCTTGTATTTCTTGAGACATCGTCCCCAAGTTGATTCCCTTCGTATAGGTTTTCTGAAAACGAAATCAATAGCGCTTGTTATACACTCCCATCACTCTCAATTCTTCTGATTGCCGGGAAACGTACATCAGTATGTAAAAATCAACATGTGAATYGATTGTTGTGTGCATAGAATATTAAATGTAGTGGTAGTCCGTGCAAGTGTCCCCAATTAGCGCGAAAGCGCTACAACGACTAAACACTTGAACAAAAGTGATTTTTAAAATTCTTATTTATTTAGTGGGACGTTATTCGGCACCAATCAATCAAAAACTGAATTGCACATCATCCAATCAGAGTGCTCGAATACAGTAGTAATTTGGCTAGTTCTGCGCGTCGAGAAAATCATAAAAGGGCTGCCGAGTGGGCAATGAAGACGGGGRAAAAATGGGGAAAAGGGACAATGTTCCACCATTAACGCGCCACTATATTTTGCTTTTGACACTAAAGCAATGAATTATCACTTACGTGCAGTGTAATCTTTTGTTGGCTGAAGCGCAACTAAAATCCACCCCATTATTGCCCCTAACACGCGCATCAGGTTTATGATCCTCCACGTTTCTAGTAACGACGTCGTCTCTTCACTCTCCCTGTAAAAAAAGAAAAGAATTGATGAAGTAACTATATTTGACCTTGCAAGGTCCTTTACTGAGATCACAGGGACTGCCGAACAGGTTTGAGTGTTTGACTGGGGGCAAAGCTATGGGGTCTGCAGGAATGCCCCTGCCCACTAGAAATTTGAAATTGGGACTTCAAAAGTGGGAAGCTAAGATCCCCCGCAACTCTCCCCACCCCACCCCCCCACCCCTGCCTCTGAAGTCCCTGGTTTACCTCTGATCAATGGAAGCCAACGGTGTGCGCTTCACACAGCAATACCTTATACTTACCATAAGTTTTGAGGGCTTTTGTACAAACTAATTCTGTCATCAATATTAGCAACGCTAATGGAAAACACCAATGCGAATAAATAAGCTGTGGACAGAAATAGAGGAGAAAAAAACGTTCATTTTGGAAGTCAGTCCAGGAAATGCAGTTATACGTGTTTAGAAAAAATGTGAAAGTGGAAGCAAAGGATAATACTGAGAAGTGAAAATGGTTTGTACACTATTTACCACTACCCCCCTCCCCCATGGGATTATTGCTCTAAAGACAAGCTTACCACTGATGGAGAGTATTCTTGAAGGTCGGTT